CCCCAAAACCCCAAAACCCCAAAACCCCAAAACCCCAAAACCCCTATTCAATAGGCTATCGTTGATTATAATAATTTATCTGCATTTAATTATGTCTGAGTGAGATAAATCAGCAAGACAGCCATTTGTAAAAACAGATGGGATTCCTGAGACAACCAATTATTCTATTGTTATCCCACCAAATAGAGACACTAATGGATTTTTTAGAAAAGCATATCACCATGAATATTGTAGGTAGAAATTTACAATTTTTCAAATTTCAAATTCTGACTTAAAATATAGGCAGGGACTATATTTCTGAAATAGAGTTTAATGAAATTATTGATAATGTTTGTAAACTAGCTTCCCTTGCATATTCAAAGAAAAGGCAGAATGATAATCGCAGTCTCTCGCCAAAAGTGGTGTTCATCTTCTGGATTTGAACAATTTCAGTAATCTGCTTCTGTTTTCTATCCTACTACGCAGCGATAGACAAGTCAAATATTATGAGAAGTAAGCGAGCTACACCTAAAGTATAGTTCTCTCAATAGCAACAATGTGAGTATCGACTGCTGTATTTTTGTTAGTAACTCTGTCAATCATCTTTGCTAAAATTCCAGAATTTCCAACTCTATCAGTCTTAGTAAAACAAAAGATTGATAACTATTTTAACAACATAAACCAACTGTATACAAAGAAGGGATTTTGGTGGAGAGTTGACGCCAAATATTTGTACATCGAAATGGTCATTGAAGATAAAATTCCTCCTGACGTCAGAGACAGTCGGTACCAACAACCAGAAGAGATGAGTGATGCCTCTAAACAGGAGATTAAGGAAGAAATAACAAAGGTTGAGAAAATAGCACTTACTGATACCCAGAGATCGAAAGCTTCTAGAAAGTGAGAAATTTTTGAAATGGGTGCTTTTAGATTTAGGCTTTAATTCACTTTTAGAGTTCATCCGATCAAAAATTCTATTTTTAAAAATAATGATCTTCTGGGGGATAAACTAACTGGAACTTATGCTGAGACTATGACGATGAAGAGCCAACATACTAAGGCTCATAATTTAAATTCTAAAGAAGAGATAGCATCTCATAATAAAACTGTTTTTGGTACTGATAATAGATACAATAACTCAAGGATATCACATCTGAGAAAGAATGAAGATGAAGAAGAAATGAAGAATTTAAACAATAAGAACGCTAGCTATAGGATGAATAACCAATATCACCCTCAAACTCCCATTGAAGCCATAAAGCAAGAAGGTAGGTTTGAAAATTCAAATATTGTAGACCAAAAACATAGAAGAAGAATAATGTCCACTGAGAATAGACTTCAGAAGACACCTCCTGATAGAAATCATGATAACTCCTCGAAGAAAGATTCAATGAAGATGGATGATGCCAGTTATCTTGATCAAAGAATGAGATCAAATAAAAATATTAGACAAAAAGACTTAGGATACTTCTCCGGAAAGAATCGTAACTTCAATTTCGGTGAAAATGAAAATTCTAACTTTGGAACAGAGTGGATGTCTGAAGTCAATAGATAAATCACTAAATAATATTATACTGTTATTGAGTTTATTCAATCTTTTGCCTCCAAAAAGGGGTTTTGGGGTTTTGGGGTTTTGGGGTTTTGGGG